GAAACTCCGAATGGAAACCAGGACGCTGAAGAGTTCGTTTGGGTCTCGAGCCTCTTCATGCTCTTCCTGCCTATTTTGGGCTAAGTGGCGGATGTAACTTCTTGAAAAGGAGTCGATGAAAAGGATAAATGGACGTACTTTGTGGGTTAGTACAGCCCTTCCACTCTGTGTCGACCTTTACGGTTTCCGTATTGATTGATAATTGAAGAACACCGTTGTTGTTTGTCCGCACAGCAAGGATATCCGACATAATTTTCATCCTGTCAACGACAGTCCTTAACTTTTGTAATGGGGGCAAGAGAATGTGCACCTACAAAAGACGGCGTCAGTGACATACGACACATGAAAGGTATAGGTAAAGGAAATCACATCGGGCTCGGGACACATCGGTTCGTTCATTTTCGCGACATCCGCAGGACGCATGACTTCTATCTTCACATCATGCGACACACGGACCTTACGCCCGACTCTTGTTAGACCGTTGATCTCAAACGTGATCACAGCTTGCGCGTTTTTCTTCGCAAGCTTCATAACTACCTCTTCTGTCTCGTATGCCGATGTGCTGGACGACGAGGCTGACTTTAGAGCGGTGAGCAGGGCTTCAGAGTTTATCCCCATTGTTATCTCATTGTCTGCATTGGACTGGATGCGGTACCCAGTGAATAAGGCATCGACCTTGATTTGCCTTTGATCAGGACTCGTTTGAGCGACAATAATTATGGGGAAAACGTCAGACGCACGACCAGACCTGAATCCCACCCTCATTCGCGTCGTGATTGCAGATTATGTGCATGTTCGTCTCCGTAAACCTGATTATGCATTTCTTCTGCAGTTTTTCGATGGACTGAATAATTTCTAGCCAGATTTATCCCGTTAAACGCGTTGCATACGTGCTCTGGCTCAATACTTACTGAAAAAAGTGTCTACGTTCGCAATTGACGTTCTGAAGCGCATCTTTCGTAAGGAAAGTAGTAGAGGCCATCAGTGAGATTTTGAATAAAATAGCTACAGGGGAGCATGATGAACGCACTTCGTCAGAAATTGTTGTCGGACAAAACTTGCGGACTTTGAAGACATGCACGCAAAACGCACGTGCTCGTAATCACTCTTTGGTCATTGACCATCCACGACCGAAACAAAATTCCTCATTGTCAACAGCGATGCCTAACCATATCTTGCCCAATGCCTTGAGACTCCCAGTCATCAAGAAACTAGAAGGAAAACGTATTGTTCTTGCATCCAACAGTCCGAGAAGGCAAGAGATCCTCCGTACATTCGTGCGTACTGACCCTCGCTGATCTGCCTTGACTTATAGGACCCTCTAGGGGCTCGTACCGGATATTGTGCCCTCTAATTTCGAAGAGAACTTGCTGCCTAGTTCATTTTCTGATATACATGAATATCCAGTTGCAACGGCGACACACAAGGCCGTTGAGGTGTATGAAAGATTAGTGGTGCGTATTTTCAAGAGCTTTGTCTGTACACGGGTCTAATGAAGTACAGGGCGAAGATCCTGATAATCCACCTGATCTTGTCATTGCTGGTCAGTGAACAACAATTTTTATCTCAGAGCATGTTTACGAACGTGACGGCCAGCTGACACTGTGGTCTTGTCCCATGTCCAGCCGTCTACCTCTGATGTCTCATCCTCTGTACTCCCAAGCCACAATCAGGAGCTCCTAGAAAAGCCGATGTCGAAAGAGGATAATCTCCGCATGCTCCTTGACATCAACGGAGGTGTCTGCGAGGTCGTAACTGGTGTTGTGATAGGCAAGTCACGGTAACCAGCTAATTCTCTGTCAAACAAAATTTTGATCTATGTTTTTTTGCAGTGTATCCAGTCTTGACTGCGCCTGGATATCAAATGAAGTGATTAATTTGATCTCTGGATATTGACGTTTTGAATCTGATTTTTGGCAAGGTTCATGGATGAACGAACTCTTGTCTATTTCTCAGACAATCCTCGGCATGTAGTGGAAGCCTACGTTGAGAACGGCGAAGGTCTTGACCGAGCCGGCGGTTTTGCTATTCAGGTGATTTCTCTATCTGCTCTACTCATTTCGCCTGCTCAAAATCTGTCTAATTTCTAGGGACTGGGTGGTCTTTTGATTCGCAAGATCGAGGGTGATTATCACAACGTGGTTGGGTTTCCTGCGGCATCTTTCTTTACCTTTCTGGATCTCCTGCTAGAAGAAGATCCGGACTTTCTTGAGGTCTAACATATCGACCCATCTAACACTTGTCATGAATGCCTAGCTTGGTTATAGAGCACTCTATGCGTGACACGACACTAATAACAAGAAGTTTCGTGACTTTCAACCTTACAACATGTATTATCTCGGCACTTGATCCCTTCTCTTGATTTTCTCCTGTCAATTCAGAATATCCAGGTTGAAACTAAGCTTGAGAAGGCAGTATAGAGTCGAAAAGTTTACTAGGTCTTTCTATAGAGGAATGAAAAAATAAAAATGCTTTTGTCATGCCAATACACCATTCTACATACATACACGTACATACATACACTCCCCTCTTTTAACTTCAATCATCCTTCTTCGGCCCACCCGCCCTCTTCGGCGGCGGTCCAACCGTAGCCCCATTCCCATTCCCACTCCCATTAAGAGCAGGCGTAGGCGGGAACGTCGCATACGCCCCCGGCGTACCCGGCAAACTAGCGCTCGGCGCACCCGAAGCAGACATCGACACAGCCATGGACGGCGTCCGCGCATGCGTCCTCGGCCCAGGCGCAGGGGTCCATGTCGCCGACGGCCCGAACATCGACGGACTTTGGTACGCCCCTCCGCCTCCACCTCCGCTCTGCGGTGTAGGTGGGATGGGTACATTCGAGGGTGTAGGCGGCGCAGTAACGCTGAACGAGGGTGTCGTTACGAATGCCGAGGGGGGCAGTCCAGCAGCGGAAGCAGGTGTGCCAGGGAACCCATTCGACATTGGCGTGCCGGTATAGCTCGCGCCCGCATACGAAGGCGTGCGCGAGTGCGAAAGTGAGTCGCCGCCGCTGCCGCCTTCCAACACCCACCCTGACCCCTGCCTGACCATCTTCCCCCTCGCGCGGAGCTCTGAGCCGCCCCACTTCGCTCTGAGGCCCACCTTCACACCGGTTGCTTCGGCCGCGACGATGCCCTGCTGCGCGTCCGCGCCAGAGACGACTTCGACCGCGCGCGTGGTGATGCGGATCGCGTAGCCCATGCAGACGAAGATGCCGCCGATAACACCGACGCAGCGGATGAGGAGCTGGACGAGGCTCGGCGTGCGCTGGTGGATCGTTATGCTGAGGGGGTCCAAATCGAATTTGAAGAAGATGCCCGGAGTCCCCCGGTTGTGCTCCAGTACGCGGGTGTAATGCGTTACGCTGTATTGGTTCGTGTCGAGCGGTTTGGAGCGTGGGGCGATATAGGTGGTCGGGACGACGTGTAGGAAGTATTGGTATGCGACGAAGGCTGCAAGCTAGGTTGGTTTGAGGGTTTTATACATGTAGAGGGAGACGTACGATCATGCGTAACCTCGTATGAATAGTCCAGAGGTTGAACGATTTCGGGGAAATGAGGCCCGAACGAGAATTCCTTGATGATATGGGAGAGGTTCATCTCTGCAGGAGGGTAAGTTTCGATATAGCTCCTAATTGGAGAGAAATGGTACTGACTGCTATGATCAACATGCTCGTAGCTAGCATATCCATGTCCAAGGGTTGTTATGTGTAAATTAGCTAGCCAAGAAGTGAGCCATTGAAGAATCAGCCGAACAGAGTATTACTCACCAGTAACCCTTTTAACAGCAAGGATTCCCCATACTCGACACGCATCTGCAGAAGCTTCGTGCTTATACGTCGGTTGAAACCCTGGTTTTGCTCGCCGTAACCAGGCAAAGAGACCGCGTGACTTTTTTGACTGCGAAACGGCCTCTTGGACTGAAAGTGCCCCTGAATGGGAGATAAACTTGCTTGCTTGGTTCGTATCGAAAACAGCCTAGGTTTCAGTTGAATAACCAATTATGGGATTGGCGCTCGGGTACAACATACCCCATCCCTGCGCACAGTACCAGTGAGCATCAGACGGTCTCCGACTGCGTCTCTCAGATCCACACTAAGATCTAAAACATAATAAGATATTTATCCGGCACTTTAAACCAGTTCTTACTCACATTGACAAGGCATAGCGACCACAATGTCGATGTTGATACCCATATAAGGGTGCTTATTACTGTCAACACTGAACTCCGTATCGGGCCAGCCCCAAATATATTCTGCAATATCATTGAGCATGAGCAGTAGCGCCAATAGCGCCACAAAGATAGTCATGAACCCGCGGGACTCTGAGCGCGACTTGTACGTTGAGGGGATCTTTGGGAACGCATCGAATTGGGCAAGAGGCGCTGGGACGACCGAGTCGAGTTTGTCTAGGAGGGAGTCAGAGTCTTCCGACGACATGGTAGGAGCCGCCGTGTGAGTAAAGAGAGAAGACCCAGATATGCTAGAGTACAGAGCAAGAGAAGCGGAGAATTCGAATGGCCTGGCCTGCCAGCTGAATCCTCGGAGTTACGCACATGATCGTATACGTGTCCAGACCATAACAACTGCAAATACTCCCACGTGCTCGTGCCAGGACGCCACACCCTTTTGGTCAAGAAGACACGTTCACTGATCGGTACAAAAACTTGTATCTTCAACGAGAAGGCAAGAAAATTTGGACCGAGCACATACTCAATAATGGACACTGTGGGAATTGAACCCACGACCTCACGCAACTCCGAGAAAGGCATGCGAAGCGTGCGCGCTACCAACTGTGCCAAGTGCCCTGATGTCCTCCGCATTCAGCAGACTCGTATGCACATGACCTGAGGCAGAAGTACATAAGCGGGTGTTAAGTTTCATTCAAAATGATTTAACATCGTTGTGTAACCTAGATATACCAACTCGATAGAGGTCATAAAGGTATTTAAGTTGCGTGGCGCTCACTGGGTCTTCAAAAAAAGAAAGAAAAAAGCGATGGACACTGTGGGAGTTGAACCCACGACCTCACGCAACTCCGAAGAAGGCATGCGAAGCGTGCGCGCTACCAACTGTGCCAAGTGCCCATGCTGACGTCAGTCCCCTTATAAAGGGAGGAGACTAGACGCAAACGCATGATAGACTCCATTTCTCGTAATCACTCGCTAACCCTCTCGCATATGCATAGCAAAAGGAGAATTACAATACATCAGCATTATCGTAAGGATCTCAACCGCTCAAAGATAATTACAATCTCAGATTGAAGTCTGCAACGTTATTGTTTGGTACTCTGCACCAGTCTGTTGGCGAGGAAGATAAGCTAACTCGATACAAGTAGAGATGGCCGAGATCAAAGATACATAACTCAAAACTCGTGAAGAGATAGATACTCGAGCTCGGCATCCAGCCAAGAAAAACAGTCCATAGCCTTTGCGCCACCATCTGGTCCAACTGCCGCCCGAGTAGTTTCCTCCTCACTATCGCTCGAACTATCTTCTGTATCACCAAAGTATTCCTCGTCACACGAGAAGTCCGGCCAAAACAGATCACCATCTAGAACGGGAAAAGACCGTCAGCCGACACTTCAAGCAACAAGAAAACTCGCCGTACCATCAGGCGAGTCAGGGTCTTCATAATCAACGAACGATCTCTCCAACGGCATCCAATCGTGTTCCCAAACAGCCGCAGATGGCGGTCCTACCACATCTCTATCCCTCTTTGTTCGGGACGGCAAAAGCGGCGATGCATACTTCGCACCACCTACACGTCCTCTCCTCGCCCTCTTCTTAGGACTAACCGTATCGATATTTCCCATCGGACTAAGCACCACCGACGGCTGGCTGTCCCAATCGAAAACCTCATCATTCGTCGTCAAAGTAAAGGGCAGGAGCTGTGGAAGCTTGATAGGCATTGGCACTGGGGACGAGTCATCGAGGTTGAGATTGACAATGAAGGAGGGCGCGGGGCAGGATACGGGTAAGGGGGGCCGCATGGAGGGTTCAAAAGGCTCCTCGGTGGGCAGCGGCGGGCGTGTGAAGACGGGTGTCCGGGGTTTGAGTGGATTGTCCGAGTCGGTAGGGCTGAAGCTCGAGGGTTGTTCTGGTCGGGACTTTCGCGGGGTGCGGGTTAGCCAGAGCAGGCTGAGTTTGAGTTTGAGGGTGTAGAGATGACTTGGGAGCTGGAGCTTGGGCTTTGGCGGCTGTTTGTTGTTAAAATTATATGAGTGGGAGGAGAACAGGAGTTTGAATCGTGCTCACGCACCACGAATACGGGGTAATCGCGATAGAGGCCGAATGAGAGCGGGTCGGTTGGGGGTAGAGGTTGTGCGAGAGACATAGCTGGATGTACGTCAAGATAAAGTCTGAGAAATGGGTGGGGTGAAAAATGAGGGCAGATAGACTGAGGACAGTGAGCTTTTTATATATACATATCCATGATCGGAAGACCGTGGCCAGTATTTCTCTCCACTGTCTCTTGTGCTATTCAAAGATCCCATTGTTTTGTTTTCAATCACACAGAAGAGTGACCTAGCCAGAATCCAGGGTCCAAGAATAAATAACAGTTATGCTTGTGCGCCAGACAATGACAATGGCGTGGAGATTGGCCCTCCCATCATTCAGATCAAATGGCTGTGCAAGTTCATCCGTGAAGGGCGCCGAGTAGATACCCATGTATAATAGGCAAGGTTGAGTAGTAGTGGCCATGAGTCGCATATAACTTTAGAATTCTTGAACACCAAGTAGCCGATTCCCGAAAGAAGGGAGAACCGGAGTTCATAAAGATATCGATATCTTCTTGTTCTCCAAGGTCTGTTGCAGTCGTCAGAGTAACACTCCGGGACAAGGACAAAAACACTGCCAGGAAGCGCTGCGAGGATCTGATAGTGCAGTGATGGATCGAGTCAGTGACGGGAAACGCCGACAGGCTAGGACATTGCTCCGAGGTCACTGGCAGCGCGCAGCTGATGATTGCTTGAATGATGTCAATAGTCGCTGACCTGAGGCCTGAGGCCTGATCGCGAACATCTTGAGGATGTCGCGACGTCGAGTGGGCCATGCGCTATGCTGAACAGCTTGGTTTGTCTCTGAGTTTACTAGTCGACAATCTAGCTCGTCTACGTATACCATTGTGGACTATCAGGCGCTCGATACCGTTCTCACTCCAACATAACTTGCTCGAAAACTCAAAATGAAATGTACATATGACTCGGACTGAGGCCGGAGTGAAGAGGGCATAGCGATAACTCGCTAAGTCGCCCGAAGTATCCGTCCTTGCAATATTCAAAAAACGAACTTGTCAAGGCCTAGGGAGATCTGGCGCATCTCAAAGAGCCGTTACTAATTGACCATATTTTACCTCGTGAGTCTGTTCGTTCCATCTTCAGAGCGGAATCATCGTGTCGGAGAACTTTTACCCAAGGGTTGCTCGTATGTCCTCTAGCTAATACTTACCCAAGCTCAAAACTCTCCTTGCTGAACCGGATCGCCCACTCCTGTCCAGACAACATCTATCAAATCATACTTCAAGGCTTGGACTTGACTTTGCGTCGATCTCTTGTGCAGTCACCAGTTGGTACTCCTTGTTGACGAGTGCCATCGACCCCGGAAGATCCTGAGCTTATTTTGCCATACCGTTTTTAGGGTCAACATCATGCACTAGCCCTTTCACTATGTAGGACAATCCGAGCTGATCACCCCGTTCGCGTCATACAAATCACTTATCAGGCTGCCTCGAGTTTCCATGACTATCTGTATCATGATTTGGACCAAAACTGTATAAAGATGGCAAGAGATCAAATCTCACTGGCATAGCCATGTATACGCTGGATATCTCGAAAGCGCATGTAATGCTTCATTTGAGCTTACAGTTCGCTCAACTGGGAGGCTTGAGGATTCGAGACGAAACTGTTGGAATGACTCAAGTCCTTTGATCTGTCTCAAAAACCTACGTCTTGTCGCACTCGATCTCAAGTTGATGTTTTCACTATAGGGAAGAACGTGGAACGAGACGGCGCGATTTACCGGCAGCTTTTGTGCCGGCATGGCAAGTTGATTGAATCACACGCGAGCCGTCTGCCAGTGGATGTTCCGATTTTGACTGGTGCCAACCGAAACGAGCGTCTGGATTTTTTCACTGGGAACGTTTGAGTGTTCATTTACAGTTTTTTTTTTTTCGCGAGATCGTTGGGATCTCAGATAAACTCTGATGGGAAATCAAGGTCAGCGACAAAAAACAGACATATCTATTATGCTGCCAACATGTTGCGGCATGAGACCATCAGTCACCGTGACACAAGCGCTTCTGTATGGGTCAAGAGAATGCGAGAAGGCTCTATCATTCTTTTTACGTTGAAGTTCCTGCCATTGCAGGTGGAGTGCATGTGGTCGGCCTCCCCCTTCGAGGGCTCCAACTTGAAACTATTCCTGCATCTTGTCAGCACCTCAAGCAAGGTTCACTGCATACTCACTATTCGCATTTCTTTTGCTGTATTCTGTTCGTCAATTTTTCATTTCGTATACTGCAAATGATGACCGTCAGAATCCAGCCACTTTCTCATTCTCCTCACGAGTTATTGGCATATCCTAAGATTAGCTCAGCTAGCTGGGTATGTCGCTCATTTGTAATCCCTGAGCTTCTCTTCAATGATGACTTATTGTGGCTAGGTAGTATCGTCGGAAAGACTCGTTGCACCGCATCTATAGACTGCTATCAACTTAGTTTGGATGGGATCCCCCAACCAGCCTTCCCAAGTATCAACGTCAATCAGAGGATTAACATCGACCAATAATCAAGGTTTATCAGGTGGGAAAAATGGACCAGCAATCACCCCCTGAGATGTCGTACTCGGTAAGTCATCTTGAGACGACCCGTTGGCGGGAACATTGACACTCATGCGTCCATGCCACCCCATCTGGAGGACCTTTTTTCCCTTAAACGTTGTATCATACATCGATAACCGTGCCAAACGTACTTATTCTTCCATTCGGATGCATCACTATTCATTTTTCCTCGTTCACTGCGGTTGCGACATTGTGGAACTTTTTCCAGAGGTTGATTTTCATATGTTTCTACCAACCAAACATATACATTGCCTGAACTTGTTGCCCTCCGTTCTTCAGCATCCAGGTGCCGAGTAATTAGAGCCAATCGTTTGGTGGAGACTGCATAGAAGACGTGGAGGGCATCACGTACGGACCAGATGCGGATGTTTTGCAGTGTGGGCTTTTGCATGGACATGGATGAAAGTGGAAGAGTGTAAAAAAGAGCTGAATCATCCATCAGTTTTAATAGGAGAGAGTCAGCGTGCATGGTGTACAGAGTTAGTCGAGGAAAGGATTGTGAATTGAAAAGATGAGAGTCAAGTTTAGATATGGCGCATTAAGGAAGACTGGGGGAAAGGTGTGGACAGCAAGGAAACACAAGGTTTGAGACAACGGAATTCGAAATGAACGTCCAGCCGAAGAATAAGAATTGTGATCAGTGGAGTTTTGGACCTCGAGACAGATATGTGGCTTTATGATTCCAAAAGGAGTCTGACAGCTCAAATGCTCGAATGGAATTATCAAGATGGTTTAGAAACTCCGATAACAATAGCAATAGCTAATGGAGAATCCACGGTCAATGAGCAGGAAATGTCACCTTACCCCCGCTGGAAAACCGGCATCACCGGAGGTATCAGAGGGGCCTTCAGGCCGAAGTGTTTAAATCTGGACATGACAGGACGTTGGCCCGTCTGCAAAAGGATACGCCCCGCTGCTTTCTCGTCACCATCACGGGCTCGTACCATGTTTTCTGCTTGTGCATTTTGCTCCGTATTTCGCCCCCAGCGACTTTGCGCCGCAGTACAATGCTGTCATCAGCCATCCTAGTGTGCACGAGATATTATACAGAGTGAGTTCTTTTTAAGACTCACAACAGAAGAGGAGGTTGAAAAAGCGAAACTAAAGCTCCACAACTGGTCAAGAGAGAATCAACGGGGCATCGACAACATCTCTTACCAACAAAAATCCCAAATGATGTGCTCCCAGCCTGGTTCAACTCATGTATCACAATATTATTTGAAGGAGAGCAACAGGCTAGCAGGAAA